TCAGCAAAAGCGTCTTTCAAGAGCATTGAATCCATCTTAAACAGAAAAGGCTGGTGTTTGACTTGACTCTTTATCAACACAAAATTATTATGTATTTGTATTTTTTCACATAGTAACCAACTAGTTAAAACAGGATTTTCATACCCTCACTTTCATGACAAACTGAGATGTTTCCTGAGGCAAGGAATCGATTTAATGAAAGTGCAAATCAGTTTTTCAGCTGTGCTGGTTCTCCACAGTAACTATGTGCTGAGCAACTGTGTTGCACCACAGTTCTCAACTGTCTGTCATCACAAAAGGAACTAGAGGAAAAGGTGTCCTACTTTTCTAGCTCCTGTTTTCAACTCATGTGAGAGTGAGAGAGGTGAGAGGATAAATTGAACTACAAAGTTAAGTTGCCATTTCTAATCTGAATTGCTTGATTGAGTAAAGTTAATTCGAAAATTGAACCACTTAATTGGTGTAGCACCCTTCACGTATCGCTCCTCCATTGTTTCTTCATTCAAGGGATTACCAAAACCTTTTCTATTGCAAAAATCGTCCAGCTCAGATGACCTAAGCACTCCCCAGTCTTCAAGTGTTCATCAGCAATCCTGAGCGCCTTGATGTTCTGCACTCCTGTAATTGCTTTTCTGAAGCCATCCAGTTCTACTGGGAAGAAAGGTATTTACCAGGAAATGTTGCAGGGCTATGATCTTGTTGGAATCATTCCCCAGCTGGAATGCAGTCGATATAGTCTACCTCGACTTAAGGTAGTAACAGCATCCTGGATGAGCAGTGAGGGAGATTGCAAACTGGCTGAGCTGCCAGACCCGGAGAGCGGTGACCAGTGGAGCAAAGCCTAGTTGGAGGTCACTAACAGTGTAACCCAGGAGACAACACTGGATCCAATCATGATTGAACTCCTGAAACATCTCTCATACGAGGAAAGGTTGAGAGAGCTGGAATTGTTCAGCCTTCAGAAAGAACAGCTCAAGGTGGTGTATTGGGTTTGTGTGAGGAGGTTTTTGGCAGCAGAGAGGTCCCAGATGACTGGAGGTTGGCCAATGTGATGTCCATCCACAACAAGGACCAGAAGGAGGAACTATAGGTCTGTCAGCCTGACCTTGGTGCCTGGCAAGATTCTGGAGCAGATGATCCTGAGTGTCATCAAGCGGCATCTAGAAGAGAACCAGGGGATCAGGCCTAGCCAACATGGGTTTAGGAAAGGAAGGTCCTGCATGATCAATCTCATCTCCTTCTATGACTGGGTGACCCACCTAGTAGATGAGAGGAAGGCAGTGGATGTGGTCTACCTCGACTTCAGCAAAGCCTTTGACACAGTTCCCTACAGCATCCTCCTGGAAAAGCCAGCAGTACGTGGCTTGGACAGGTGCACCCTTCACTGGGTTAAAAACTGGCTGGATGACCAGGCTCAGAGTGGTGGTGAATGGTGCTGCATCCAGTTGGCATCTGGTGACCAGTGGTATTCCCCCAGGTATCATTACTGGGCCCAGTTCTATTTAACATCTTTATTGATGACCTGGATGAGGAGATTGAGTCTACACTTAGTAAATTTGCAGATGACACCATCTGCAGTGTCAATCTGCTGGAGGGTAAGAAGAGGCTGCAGAGGGACCTGGACAGGCTGGGTCAATGGGCAGAGGCCAATGGTATGAAGTTTAACAAGACCAAGTGCAGGGTCCTACATTTTGGCCACAATAACCCCATGCAGTACTACAGACTGGGGGAAGAGTGGCTGGAGAGCAGCCCAGCAGAGAGGGACCTGGGAGTACTGGTTGACAACTGATTGAACATGAGCCAGCAGTGTGCCCAGGTGGCCTGGAAGGCCAATGGCATCCTGGCCTGTATCAGGAATAGTGTGGCCAGCAGGACTAGGGATGTAATTCTCCCTTTGTATTCAGCACTGGTGAGGCCTCACCTCGAGTACTGTGTACAGTTGTGGGCTCCTCACTTCAAGAAGGATATTGAGGTGCTGGAGCTGGTCCAGAGGAGAGCAACAAGGCTGGTGAGGGGACTGGAGGGGAAGTCTTAGAATGAGAGGCTAAGGGAGCTGGGGTTGTTTAGCCTGGAGAAGAGGAGACTCAGGGGGGACCTTATCATTCTCTACAAGGGAGGTTGCAGTCAGGTGGGGGTTGGGCCCTTCTCCCAGGCAACTAGTGATGAGAGGGCATAGACTGAAGCTGTGCCAGGGGAGGTTTAGGCTGGATATTAGAAAGCACTTTTTCTTGGAGAGGGTGATCAGGCATTGGAACGGACTGCCCAGGGAGGTGGTGGAGTCACCATCCCTGGAGGTGTTTAAGGAAAGGCTGGACGTGGCACTTAGTGCCATGGTCTAGCCAATATGGTAGTGTTAGGTCATAGGCTGGATTTGATGATCTCAAAGGTCTTTTCCAGCCTCAGTAATTCTGTGATTTTGTGAATTCTGTGATTCTGTGAGGGTAGGGGCTACAGAGGTAGCTCCTGTGAGAAGGTGCTAGAAACTTCCCTGGCTCAAATTTGGACCTGCCTCCAGCTGAGGTCAAGCCAATTGGCATCTCTGCAAATGATCTATTTAAGAGGGTTGCAGCACATGGTGTGTCATCACTGTGTCACCCCTGGCCCAGCCAGTCCAATCCAAGCTCAAGACCCGCTGCAGCCCCAGCTCAAGAGCTGGGAACTCTTCAGGAACCTGAAGAAGGAACCTGCAGTGGAGAGAGGAGTGGAATGTGAGAGAAACAACTACACAAACACCAAGGTCAGGGAAAAAAGGAGAGTGAGGAAGTGTGCCAGAGCAGAGGTTTCACTGAAACCTGTTGTGAGACAGCAGCTTGATCTGCCTGCAGCCCATGGAAGACCCCTAAAGAAGGTGGCTGCAATCAAAGAAGGCCATGACTCCATGCGAAATCTGTGCTGGAGCAGTCTGTGGGAAGGACTGCATGCTGCAGAAGGACTCAAGCTGCAGAAGTTTGTGGAGGACTGGCTCCTGTGGGAGAAACACGATGTGGAAGCAGAGGGAGAGTATGAGGAGTCCTCCCTACCCTTGAAGAGGAAGGAGGGCAGAGACTACATGTGGTGAACTGACCGCAACCCCCATTCTCTGTCTCCTTTGCCACTAGCAGAGAGGAGGTAGAGAAATTTGGAGTAAAACTGAACCAAGGAAGAACAGAGGGGCAGGGGAAGGTGTTGACTTTAGCTGTTCTTCTCATTGTTCTACTCTTATTTGGCTGGTAACAAATTAAATTGTTTTGGTTTTCCACAAGTTGAGTCTGTATTTTGCCTGTGACCATGAGTGGTGAGTGATCCCTCCCTGTCTAGTCTGAACTCACAAGCCTGTTGTTATATTTCCTCCTCCTCCTCACTCCACTGGGGGCAAGGGGGGAGAAGTGAGCAAGCAGCTGCATGGTGCTCAGTTGCCCACTGGGCTTAAACCAGGACAGGTGGCAATCTTATCAATGTTTACTAATACATGAATGGAGGGTATAAAAGGATGGGGCCAGGCTCTTTCCAGTGGTGCTCAGTGACAGGACCAGAGGCAATGGCCACACATTGAAACAGAGGAGGTTCCATCTGAATGTCAGAAAACACTTATGTACTGTGAGGAGGACCAAGCACTGGCACAGGTTCCCCAGGAAGTTGTGGAGTTTCCATCCTTGGAGATACTCAAAAGCTATCTAGATAATGATCCTGGGCAACCAGTTCTCAATGGCCCTGCCTGAGCAGAGAGGTTGGACCAGATGACCTCTAAAGGCCCCTTCCAACCTTAACCATTATGGTGGAGAGACACTGGCACAGGTTGCCCAGGGAAGCTGTGGATGCCCCCTCCCTGGAAGTGTTCAAAGCCAGATTGGACAGGGCTTTGGGCAACCTGCTCTGGTGGGAGGTGTCCCTGCCCGTGGCAGGAGGGTTGTAACTAGATCATCTAAAGGTCCCCTTCCAACTCAAACCATTCTATGATTATGTGATTCTGTGATACATTGAGGTTTGCTTAAAACAGGAAAGACACTTCACTGTATTTCCTCTTTTTATTATTCTGATTTCTTCCAAAAATAGCATAACAGTGTACATTCAAACAAAATCTGATACAAGAACTCTAACAAAACCAGATTTGACACACAAATTTCAATGAAACATTTCAGCTCTTCTAAAGTGTCGGCATTTTTCAGCTAGTTTCACGAGTACTAATTCTAGCAGACACAAAAAAGACTTGTTTTCTTAATTTCAGCAGCAGAACTGACTGTGATTCTACTGCCAGTTAAAGGTGTTCTTCTATACAATAAAAATAAAAAATAATCGGGAATCATAGAGGAAAGAGTATGACCAAATTACAACAGAGGGAAAGCAATACAACTACAAACTCAATCTGAATGCTTAACTCTGTAACAGAAATGTTCTTTCCTAGGTTTATTATAACTTTTCAAAATACTCCTGTACCATCAACATTTCATCATTTCATCTCTATGTAAACTATAGTAGCAAACAGCAGCCAACAGCTCCTGTTAGCCCAAGAAGAGAGAGAAAAAACATGAAGTATTCATGCCCTCTCAGTAGTGGGTGGCTACAAGGATGTGGAAAGCAGAGCAAACACCGTGTCAGAAATCCCTAAGCCAGCTCTAAGATGGTAGCTAGGCATGGCTCTGTCTACTGATATATCATGAGATTACATTCCCAAACAAAATATTTGGCTCTGATGTGGGGATTGTTATCCATATGTACTGGGGCGTGTACACACATACACAGCCCTCCTTCCCAGAGTGAACTTCTAGTATCCTCAAATATTATACATGCTCCACTTCTGGTTCATGATCCAGTACACGACCATGTTCCTAATGCCTTAAGAACTGCAATGAGGTCCCCTTCACCACCAATAGCTCAACCTTATGCCAAGTCCATTTGGAATTTTATGAAAGAAGTAATAAACACATCCTAAGATCTGTCTAATAAGTTTCAGGAGACACTAAAACTACCAAAAAGTTAGGAGAGTCTTTAATGCAATAGAAAATTTCAGTAATCTCAGTTCAGCAGCTGTTACCGATTACCACATAGTCATATTTGGAAAAACACCACAGATTTAAAACTTTAGAAACTTTAGAACTTCTTTCAGAGCAGTTTTGTACAGAACAAACTCGTTTCATCTTGAAAGCACCATGAAGTGACACTACGTATCAGCAAGCACGGAAAGCAAGAACATCATGGGACTTCCTCATGTAAGCTACACCTTGAATACAACCAAGGTAGATTTACACTGCAGGCTTGAGTACAGCACAGAAGTACCCAGACTGACTCAGGTATTATTTGCCACTTGGCTCTTCATGCAATGTAGACATACCCTATTATGTTTGAATATATCTCATCAGGAATTAACTGAGCTCTGCAGTACAATATTTATGCCCTCATTCTGCACCATCAAAGTCAGCAGCCATTTTTCCACCAATTTCAGAAAGTGCAGGGTCAGGCTTGTAATCACAAACATACTTCTACAAACAAAACGCCTGTTTCTAACATAAAGTTGTGTCAAGTTCAAACATGAGTTTTGAGAGCATGCAGGTCGCTTACAAATGCTTAAAAAGACTGGTTCAGAATCTTTCTTATATATACACACACAAGTCCATCTGTCACAGACAGGCAATGTAACTCAGAATCATGAGCTTGCTATAGTTTTTGGTAGTGTCCTGCACACTTCTGATAATTAAAAAATAAAAATTAAAAAAATAGTTGCCACGATGGATTTCTGACCATTCCAGCTTGCACATGGATATGATCTCTTCTTGCCTCATCCAGAACGTCAAGTTTCACAGTTGCTTCTCAAATGCAAATACCAAGTAAATACCTAAAAAAAGAAAATGGAGTAATTTAAAGTTCAGCTTCCTCTGCCACTCTAAGTTTTCAAAATGTAAATAGCTGATGTTCTGCCCAAATAACCTGTTAGCAGGTTACTGAAAGTATAAAAATTGCTACGGTTTCCCAATGAGTAACTCTAGCATTCAGATGCAGCATGGTTTCAGATATGTTTTCACAATAGAGCTAAGAATGCACAAAAGCAGTATCTTAAATACTGTTGATATGGTTAATGCAACACTAACTTCAGTTAATTAAACTACTGAAATGTGAATATAATTCATAAATTACTATGCAACTCTACACAATTAACATTCACCAGTGCATAAAATCATACGTAACTAAGTTTAAAGACTCCTTCATACATGCAGTAATGGACAATTAGGGGTGAAAAGATCAACTTAATTTTTAATTAAAAATTTAATAAGCTTATGGTACAAAATTATTAATTTGCTCTTTTAAAATATTACAAAGAAGAAATATTTACAAACACTAAATGGCACTTTCCCAGCTCCAGAACAGTATCATTCTAGAAATGGACACACATACAAATCCACACCAGCGCCTTGGGAAATACTTATTTGGCACATAATCAATGCCGGCTGTGTCAGAAATTCTCATACTTCGTACAAGACAGAGAAGTTAAACCAGTTTCTTGAGACCATGTCTCTAACTAAACATTTATGGATTTCCACTTGAACTCAGCTTTCATTTTAATGGATGAGGTGCCATAGCTACATTGCAAATCTTTCACGACAAGCCTCAGCGATAAAGCAAAGTGAAGTTTCATGAAACAGTCACGTTGTGCTTATACCCTAAACAGTCAGAAGCTCTGTACTCCAAAAGCATTCCCTGAAAAAGAGAGACTACTTAAAAAATATAATCATCATTGACCTTTTAAAGGCATAAAAAGCCCCTCTCAATTAGATTAATAGTTTACACAATATTTTTGCATTTCTGGAATTAATGTCTCCCTTATGATTCACACTTTTAAAACACAGATGATAACTTAAGAAAGCAAACACCTTAACTAAAGATTTTTTAATTCATGAATTGAACAGCACTTTTTGTTTGCTTTTAAACCACTAACACAACCAGTATAAGAGTCTCCAAAAATGCAAATGCTGGTCAGCCGCAGTAACACAGAACTTGGTAATAATCTCTCTGGGAGTCTATTTTTATCCTGAGAATTCTCAGTCCCTTATATCTGAGTTTCATCAAACTCACCATTTGAAAAAAACTGCATCAAAAGTTTTCCATGGCACACGCTCACAAAACTTCAAAACATTTAACAATGGTGTATCCTTTTCAGTGTCCAAGGCATTGACTTTTTTCTCCTCCCTTTACAAAACATTCAAATACCTCTCCACCACCCATGCTTTAATTGCTTCTTCCTGAAACATGTATAACTACAGGCAAAGAGCAAAGCTTCAACCCTTGTCTTACCAAAACAGATTTATATTTTTTATGAATATACATTCCAACTGGAATTTGTTTTCTAGTTGACTGATAACAGTATGTATCAGGTGTACCAAGTATAGTACTTAATCCTCTAACAGAAGCAAAATAATCCTGCAACACTGGCATCCTCTTTTCATACATCTTCAAGTAAGGCTTTCCCAAACTATTTTAGCCCAAAAGTTTGTGTGCTAGAAGCTACTTAAACAAGGCAAAGTTTCTGTTTTATGCATTTCCCTCCCAATTGCTTGAGATATGTGCACTATGTAATCTATACACAGGCATTTGAATAACACAAATAATAAAAGCCTGTTGTATTTAAAATTTGGATTTTCTTCCACAACCAATAGGCTATTTTACACTTTCCACAGCAGTTGTTTACTGAACAGTGAGTTTTCGAAACAATACTTACTTGTTGCTTCCCATTCAGACTTACTCAAAGTTCCCTAGAAGCAGATAAAGAAAAAACAAACAGTTTCAACAAAAAATAAGGAAACAAGAAAACAATTTAAATTGGTATTATCAATCTTTCATAGACCAGCTTCTAATCACCCACACTGGCTGGCTACTTAGGGATGAGAAGAGCATTACTGTAGACCACAGACACTTATAACTCCTATAACTAGGACAGTAGGGAACTGAAACACCCCAGATAATGAAACACACCTAAATTACACAGGTGTGGGAGAACAGACCAACAGTCTGTTGTACTGGAGGCACACCGAGTCCCATCACCACAAAACGGCATCCAGCCCGAGATGCCCAACACTTGTGCAGAAGTCAAGAAGAGGCCCATGCTACAGAGCTGCCACCTTCCCTGGGGACACTGCCTCAGCCCAAAACCTCTCTGCAGCCCACAAAAACTCTGCAGGACACTAACTCCCAACATAGCTCATACACTGAGAAAAAACAGCCTGCCTTGCAGCCAAGGAAGACTGCTCTTAGCTCAGCCTTTTGGATGAAAGAAAGGCAACTGCACCAGTGAAAAGTTGCTGCCACTGACCCTACCATTTAAGAAGCATGAGGTAACAAGAAGCAGCTGTTTTTCCTCTCTGCCCACTCCATCACTTTCCAGTGAGCCCTGAACTGGGGGCATGATTTAGCCCATATGCTACTCACTGACCAATCCTGACTGAGTGAGTCACCTTTTCATACACTAGTGAAAAAAGGCTCATTCAACCAGATTTCCTCTTTGCCAGCTGATACAGCACCTGGCAAAAATGGTCTTTGGTCTGACTTGACCATGCCTATGTTCTTAAGTTTATGTCTTTAAAGAAGCATTTTTCTTTTTAAAATGTTTAGCTTTCAAATACAGAGAGCAGGTTTATTTCCCCTCTTGATATAGGATTTTTATATATGCAGTAAAATGAATACATCTTCAAGAATTCAGAACATGAACAGTAGATTAGCCAATGATTAAAAAAAAAAATCCAAGCAGAAAACCTTCAATCCAAGCAGCCTCATGCTGTATCTATGATGATAAAACAGGATGCCCTCTATCAGTAATTGCACAATTTTACTAAAACTAAAATCTTTACTCAAACTAGTTTCCAATTTCGGTTCTCTCTTGCCAAAGAGCCTCAACACATAAAAAAGACCTAAAGTTCTGACTGAAAGAGCCAACATTGCTCATTAGGAACCATTCAGCATTAACAGTTCAGTTAAAGCAAGCCTTTGCAAGGTTTCCATCCAGCCTGACTCCCCAGATGCAGAGAGAGAAGCACACACACAGCTAGAGGCTACCCTGAATAGCCAGCCAGGCAACAGATGGAGAGGCAATTGCCAAATGGCAGCAGTTCCTGGGCAAAAGGGACAGCAAACATTGCCTGTTCTCCTGCTTGCTTCCCAGGAACAGCAGCTATGTGGGCTCCTGTCCATCCTGCACCCAAATCAGACCAACACAGAAGAATGAAAGGCTGGGACAGGACCAGCTGCAGACAGCTCCAACACTGTCATTTTCTGCTAGGGCAATGGAAGAAAGAAATACCCTTTATAAAGATGTGAGGACAGCAAGCTCAGAAAGGCAGCATGTGCATTAGAAGACAGGACTAAAAGTGGAAAAAACCATTTAATTGGACCACTGATCTAAAAATCTAGTATGGCCTCCATTAAAGATGGTTCAGTATTCTTTTATTTCTGAAGTTATAAATCAAGCTGCCAAAACAGGAGAAATGCAGAAAAACACATGACATGACAGCAGAATAAGTTTTGTACAGTGTAAGTTACAACCATCAAAAAGGAAGTTTCTTTTCATTCCAGAATGGGAACAGAATATCATACTTAATAGAGGGCAGAAATATACTGATTTAGTTTTGTGCACACAGGACTAGTCTAATTCTAGGAGCTCTGTTTAAAAAAATAAATGAAGGCACAGCAGATTTTAAAAATTACTATTTACAGAACTTTCATAAAACCAGCCAAGAAGAGAGCTGGATCTTCTTCACTGAAGATAACAGAAAAACAATGTTTAAGATTTCAAATACATAATAGTATTATGCATAAAGTTTTCAATTCTCTTATCAGAGGATTAAAAGAAGAAAACTAAAGCTCTGAATTGGTAGTGTGAAGATCCAGAAACATAAAACTCTTCAAATTAAGAAGAGGTATGCTAGAACAGCTGCCAAGGAAGATGGTAAAATATCCTTTGCCTTTTGCATTGTTACACATTTCTTAATAGCTACCAAATCAAGTGAATTTTATTCTTTGAGCATAGGGTATAGCTAAGATGAATGCCTCAGCCCTGCAGCTCTACAGTTTTTCAAATGCACAGAGACATTCACACCAATTGCACTGCAGTTGAAATGATGAAGACACCACATGTCTAAAAGATTAGGACCTAAATTTTAGACACCATTTGCTCTAGCGAAGTAAGAAGGAACTTACCAATGGTAACTTTGCCTTGCTTTCTTTGATGAACTCTTTTGCATGCTCATAATCATCAGGTTTATCAGAAACAAGCCTGGAATCACCAAATGTAGAATATGGCTAGAGAACACAGAAAAAAAATAAGAAAAAGTATTAATTGTGTAGTAAGAGACATTAAACACATCAGTCAAGGGTTTAATCACAACACAGCCCAGAACAGAGGTCAGTAATGAAGAGGATCTTAAATTTGGATCTCTCCTTTACAGCACTGACACAATCAGGTCTGATATTCTCTACTTCCCAGAAAATCGACACCCAGAATTTATACATTAACTGTTATCCTTATGTTTCCAACATAGGCGAAACGGAGTAACTATAAAAATTATTCTCCGTGCACAGTTCATTATGAGTATTACCTAGATATAACCTCTTTCAGAACAGCGACTGAATAAGCCTGCATCTCAAACAGAAGTACTAAGAAATGAGCAACTGTAAAATTTCAAGCAGAATGCTTAAAATGCTTTAATAACACACAGGAGCTGTAACAGACATACAGCCAATCCTTCAAAACTAATATATACTTATTCAGGACACCAGATACTGCATAATGGTCTGTACTTCACAATGCAGTCCTCAATTGTAAGTGACCACTAATTTAAGACAGCTCTCACTTTTCTAAGAATGCAGCTGACATGTCAAAGGTTGTGTCACCATGCTTCTTGACAACATGAGCCCATACAAAGCACTGTTCCTTCTAGTGACAACAAGGACAGCCAAGTTCACTCGCAGCCCATATGACTCAGTTCAGTAAGTCACCAGATACTTGACTTGGTAGTTTTATGCTGAAAAACTCTGTTTGAGGGAGGAAGGAAGCACAGAGAACTGTGAGTAAAACCAGTCTCAGAGATGGCATTGAAAAGTTTCTCTGAAGCTGCTGAAGTCATCCAGGATAAGAGCTTGAGAATAAAAAGGCAAAAACAAGCTCAGTTACAGTTAAGTACCATTTTCTTCTACGAATACAGCCTGTCCTTTCATTCCTACAAAGATTATTTCCTGTCTTTTCAATCAATATTTCTTGCACAAAAGATACAGCTTTCAGTCTCTCTCTGCTGAGGAAGAAATGGATTACGGTTTTCACTATCTGACACAGGTATGATTCTTGTGCTTCTGCTAGCTACTTAATAAAAATGAAAACCTGCCTCAAAATGGAAGTCACATAAACAAAACTGAAACACTGCGTGCTGGTGCCCATGTGATGGCAGCACGGGGCTGCAGACATGGCCTTTGTGAGGCAAGGCTGGGGTCGGGGTCAGGGCCATCCCAGACATAAACAGTTCCACCAGCTCCAACAGAGCCACCACAGAGCATAGCTGAGCCCCTCAGCCACAAGTGGGGCACCTCTGGCAGAGTGTATTTAAGAAAGGACAAAAACCCCCTATGCAACAGCTATGAGAGAGAAGGAAGGAGAGAAGGTGCTCCAGACACCAGAGAAACTCCCCCGTAGCCTCTGGAGGAGGCCATAATGATGCAGGTTGTCCCTCTGCAGCTGATGGTGGACCACAGTGGAGCAGCCATCCACACTGCAGCCTGCGGAGGAACCCATGCTGCAGCAGGTAAACATGCCCTGAAGGAAGCTGCAGTCTATGGAAAGCCCACAAAGAAGAAAGCTCCTGGTAGGAGCCATGGCCCATGGAGAAGTGCACAAGAAGAAGCAGGTTTTCTAGCAGGAGCTGCAACCCCATGAGGAACCAATGCTAGAGCAGTCTGCTCCTGAAGGACTGAACCCCATGGAAAGAACACATGCTGGAGTCCTGTGAAGGACTATATCCCATGGGAGGGATCCATGCTGGAGAAGGGGAGGAGGAAAGAGGCAGGTAAAAGTGTTATGGACTGACCACAAAGCCCCATTTCCCATCACCCTGCGCTGGGAGGGCGCTGGTCAGGAGTTACACTGACCCCCTTTTTTTGGTAATAAATTAAATTCATCTTCTCTAAGTTTAGTCTGTTTTGACCATGACCACAATTACTAAGTAAACTCTTGACTCACACGTTTGGGTTTTTTTTATTTTCTCCCTCCATTCTGTTGGGAAGAGGGAGTGAGAGAGCAGGTTGGTGGTATCTTGCAGTCAGTCAAGGTCAACCCACCACAGTCGCACTTTCAGCCACAGGAGTTCAGTTCTTCTATTGGTAGCCCTTAATTAATTGCTCAATGTTCACAACAGGAATTTCAATTATTGCACAAATAATTAGCAAGATGTAAAACACTATTTAAATTAAACAAGTTAACTCCCTATTTACCTCCAAAGCCTGCATTCTCCTTAACAGCATTTTATGCTCCTCATTCTTGACTTTTTCTTCATAGAATTCCCGAAATGTCATTTTGTAGACTAGTTTCATACCATGCTTCTTCGCCATTCTGTCAAAATAATAAGCTAAATTAGGGAAGCTGCAAAGCTATTGTAGTTTTATTTTCAAAGAAACAATTTTAAGCTACAGTGACATCTTATGGTATTCACTAGGATTACATGCTTTCTAGAATTTTTCTCAGTAAACACATTAAGATGAAAACACTGCACTAACACCACAAACTATATTTTTTTGAACTAGGACAATGAAACTCTACATGGAAGTCATTGCAGATATTCCAGTAGAAAAACGTCTCTTCTCCCAACACACAGAAGCTAGTAAGTTCCCTTTGAACTTCCAGATAGACTATACTGTTTCCCTGTAGTATCATCACCCTGCATGTCAGCTATTATGGATATATGATTAGAGAACCTCTTTCTATCAGATTTAGTGCCTTACATCTCAATTATATGACACTGTGGTCAAACAGCACTGAAGTTACAGGTATTAGTAACAGATGCTGGTATTTTTCAGAGAGAACTACAAATGAAGCGTGTGAAAATACACAGGTTTGAAGGGAAAGCTTAATATTGTTTAAGAACCATACTGGGCTTGAATGACAGGAATCCCAACAAGGAAACCTCAGGAGAAAGTCTTGGAAAGGTAAACCTGAATTTACACAGAGGTAACAGTAAAACATATGCTCACAGGTGAAGAAGATTTAGAGGAAAAAAAAAGTCATAGGAGAAATCCTACAACATCGAAAGGAAGTTAGAGAAGACAAGAAAGACACCATGATGAACATATACAAGAGGGCTTGCTGAAGGACTAAAGAAAGGCAGAATGAAACCCTCCAAAAAATTAAGATTAAATAAAAAAGCTGAGAGCACTAAAGGTTTCCTGAGAGATCCAACATATCACATACAGAGATTCTCATGTGAGACCAAGTTTAAGTCTTTACAGCTTCCCTCCACAGCACCTTCAACTGAGAGCAGTGGATAGATTAGAGTTGTGGATGGAAATGCAAGAAACTACTGCATTTGGAGCAACAATAAAAAATGGAGAAGCGAAAAACATAAGAAGAAATTCAAAATATAATTTTCTGCTAGTATTATGCAATAACACAAACTAAACAAATGCTTATTATGTTTCACAGCTTTTATTGGACAATGAATCTAAAACTTAACTTACTCTTCCAGTAATGGAAAGTAAACCAAGAACTCAGGGACATCAACCACTTCTTCCAAGTGGAAATCATACTTGCAGCCAAACAAGGGATATTCTCCCTTCTTCTCAAATTTTACACTGTACACGTCATTCCCAAATGAATTTGTTTCTGAAGCTTCAAGTCGTTTTCTATAAAATGAGATATAAACAAACATTAGTTGACCACATTTAATTTAACAGGGAGGAAAAACTATGCACAAGAGGCCTGAAAGAGGCAGTACTACAGCATTCAGTGATCCCTGTAGTTTCTCACCTCCCTTATTAGATAAAGCAAAGGAACAATGACATGAAAGAAAAGCAGCATACTAGCTTTTAACAGTTTATCATTCCTACACACCATACCAAGGACTAAATGGAGCTAGAAAATTAACCTTTAGCCCAGATGCAGTCTACATGGACCAATCAGGCTTCCTGGAACAACCACAGCAAAACCCTGACAGTTATCCCCAGGCTGTGGCTATTTTGCCACTATATTAGTCAGAGGCAGAGGATTTACGTATGAAGATCTATACTTTATACCAGAAAAGCCATGGGTCGAAGAGACGAGTACAGATTTACCTGTTTGACTTAAGTTCATGAATGAGATTTTCCTGACTAGAATCCAAAACTGTTGGAAAAAACTTGGTTTTGTTGGCATAAACATATCAGAGCACTGTAAGAACAACTATCACTTAACAACGGTTTGTAGACTTTTCAAAGACAAACAGAATATAAAAGTACTTACACAAGTTCAAAACTATTTGGAGTTGTGCCAATGAAATACCCTCCAGGAGAGAGGTTCCCACAAGCATTTTTAAGCATCATGTCAGCCTGCTCGTATGTCTCAAATGAGTAATGGTAAACAAATTGACAGCTGCAAATGTCAAAGCGTGTATCTGGATCATTATATTTGGAAGACAAGAGATCCTGAAATAGATTAAAAAGAAAAAAAATTCCAGCAAAAGAAATGGAAACAAACATGATTCACTTAAAAGTTCCAACAAATACACTATTCCCAGAATTCTTTGAAGCATTTCCTCTTCAGCCCCCATTCCTTCTCAAGTTCAACAAGAACAAGATGAAAGAGTAAGAAAAAGTCCCCTGCTACACAGAAAACCATACACAATATTTGGGAACAACAAGAACACAAACAGATTCCAAAGTTATCATGTCCTCAAATTCTTTTCATGTTGTCGAGTGACATCAGTACACTTGAAAGGCCAAAACCCAAGGTTAGTTACCTAATAGTTTCCAGAGATATTTTACTGCTGAGGATTTATAAGCAGTCACCATTTAGTTGGAAACAATTATAATAATAAAATGAATTTTCAGTTTACCAAGTAATGAGAATTGACCCAATAAACATATAATTGAGAGGAGGAAGGGTTGTTTTAAACATGGCAATTTGCCCACCCACCAAGCTGTATTTGTCTGTATTCTCACAGATGTACATACACGCAAACCAACTTACTACTCCCTGCCACAGACCAAGTAACCAGTAACTTTGAAGAACGTGAAGCCTTTGAAATTTGGCAGGTTAAAGCCTGCCACAGTTTGACTCCGTACTCAGCAGTTCTCCAACTCTTCTTGATCAGGCTTCTTTTACACGATACTAGCAGCCGCCATAAAGAACACAGGAGCAGAAAAGTTCTTCCCCAGACCCATGATACACATTCCACACTTAAATATTTCATACTTAACAGTTTTGCCTGAGTTTCTCTTCTCTCCCTGACTTCCCATCCACACACTCACTCCCAGTCTCTACCAGTTCATGCCACATACTGTTAACATTCTGTATGCAGCAAGATAAAAATGGACACTCCACATTCCCATAGCTATTTTATCTGTTCACTTACTTCCCTGTCCACATTTTGAAAGACAGAGATACAGGAAACTGAGAAATAGTTCATTCCAGCATAAAAAAACACATCCACCAAAATAGTTTCCAAAATCCAATGAAACTCCCAGAACTCCAAAAATAAGTATTCATTCCCTTTCCCTCATCAAGTGAAAGCACCAGATTTATTATCTCAAAAAGACAATCAGGCTCCAAGAATGTTACACTGTAAAACAGTAACAAAATGCATTGAACTATGTCTCAGTAACTTGTATGCTTGGTTCTCCTGACACTATAGCAATCTGATCTTAAAAACACAGATGCCCTAAATATTATAGCATTAGCATCACTTCCTGTACTCGCTTAACAGAAGAAAATTAAATCACCAAAATATTATAAAGCATAGGATTTGTACCTTGGTACTATCTGCTTGTATAAATTCTGCATCAAAAATATGTTCATTATAACGACATCGGGCTTTCATGTCTTCATATCGCTGCTTGCACTGTTGCACAGAAATGTCAGCAATATCTAGAGAGAGAGAGAGAATGTTTTTTTTAAAGTGTGTAAAGTGCTCCCCAGACAAGAAAATTGCAATGATGACTGGAACACAGCAGGGATAAAATCTTCAGTTACACTTGATGGGAACAAATACTTTCATCTCAAATTTGTAGAGAAGGAATTTAATTTGCAGGAAGTGTTTGGGATTGTAACTGTCATTTTCAGTCTTCAGACAGAAGTTGTAATCTGAAGATTTTACGAAGCTCCCACCCTCAAAAGTGCAAAGCAAGCCTCCAAAATGTCAAGTGACGAATACTAGGTGATTGATACTAAGTGCTGTTAGCATTGTCTAGTATAGATTAGCTCAAGTAGTTCAGCTCCCAGAATTTCTCCAGCAGTACTGAAAGCTCTTGATGTTCTTACTAATACAGATGAAATGCAATTATTTGTGTTATATGCTGATATATTGTATCATGAGGATTTTTAAATTTTGTTCTTAAGACTGTAATGTCACTAAATAACACTAAAAGTAACAATATGCAATAAATTTACATAAGAATACCTAGAATAATTCCTACTACAGGAATTTTATGAAATTTTACTACCTGTTAAATCTGAAGTTAAATAACGCTTCCTCCAATTATCCTTGGCATGCTTTTAGGGAGAAGGGGAGATGGTATCTCCTTCCCAACATCTAAGCAAACCATTTAAATGAAAAGTTATTTAACCAGATCACCTTTTGTCAAACCACTGTGGATGGTTTGTTTTTCTTAAATATAACTTTTACATGCATATTTTCAGAAGACTTAAAAACACAACAAGAGATTAGATGTGGAAGAAAATATATAAAATATAAAATGTCAGTCTTTTCCCCAGTGTTACATTTTGCCTAAGACAACCTCTGGTAATTGTGCATTTCTTCACTGACAGTAGGTTTGGTACTTTTTTTGCGAGTTGAATTGAAAGCTCATTACACAGAAAATCAATGGTTCTTATATTTATGCTGGCAGTCAAGTTGATGCCTTCAGGTTAAAAGAAAAAAGACAATTTTTTGATAGAAAGTATATCATTGCAGTTTTGGGCTTACTAAAAAAGGAAATAATAAGACTGGAGATATGCTTGTTTTTCCCACAAACACTGGTATACTTCCCCTGGAAAGTTATTGTGTCCTCTTACCAGTACAGACAAGTTTCTTAATTCTGCCTTTTTTCCATTTCAGTAAGTCTCCACCTTTGCCACATCCTAGATCCAAAACAGTTATATCATTCTTTTTCCGTCGTACCCGGTCTATAAATTCACCTAGAAAAAATAAAGAGAGAGAACACATAATAAAGATGTCTCTAATTCACTTGTACTGTACAGAGATCCCTAAAGGACCAGAAGGGTTTGAGAATTTTAAAAGATCTCAGAACTTACTTTGCCTATGAGTCTTTTTAACATTACAGACTTAAATATCTCTTTCTAGAAAACACCAATGATGAAAGCAACCACAAGCTTTTAAAACTACAGAGAAGACAATGAATATTTTCTGTGCTTAATGTGATTTGCATGTAATGTGACTGGAGCTCTGAGCTATTTCCCTGGCAAAGGCAGAACTGTGCATCGCTAAACAACCACCCCAGTCGTGAGTGGGGAAACCAGGTTCCCTTTCATTACCATTATAATGAAGGCAAATGTTATTTGAAAGTATGGGAAAGCCTTTGGCAAAAGAGTAAAAACCAATTAAATGCATCAGCCACAACTTTTCCTTGCGGTCACATTACAAGAATGCATTATGTCTTCCACTCAGTCTCTCCTACACCTTGCAATAACACCAGCTACTTGTTTGCTGTCTTTTTACCCTACATACACCAACTTCATTGCCTCTTCTGTCTTCTCTACCTCTGCTCTGACTGATGTTGGCATATTCTGCAAAAAGTACCAGCATGCTAGCAAATTCTCTTCACAGTAAGAGACATGAAATACATTTGGATACAACTGCAATAACACCACATTACTGAAATTCATGATGACTGAAAGGCTTCAGCACAGGCACTACCAAAGTCTTTAAATAAACCTAAATACTGCTCCTAACTGCTCCGATACAACACAACAAAAAGCAGCATGCTAGACAAATGGTGCCCACATCTCCTGGCATGGATCCCTCTTCATTAACCTGTGATGCTCTACCAGTAATTCTCTTCTTCGTTTGGAGATATCCGATGGTTTTGTTTCCTCACTTTGGAACTAATTTGCGGGATAGCAGACTTCACCTTTTATAAAAAACTGCTGATTCTTAAAAGAACTACATCCTCTAATCTTTTTAAACCATTGACTACAGGTAATACGGAAAATATTTACCTGTCCAAGTTTCCTACAGATTTGCTTAATCTAGACCCGAGACAGACTGCTTTGGGAAAATAGTTATGGAATTATTTGAGATAGATTTAAGTAACAAGAACAACTCAATTTAACAAGAACAGACAGATTCTTTACGATTTACAGCTGTACCTTGCTGTTTAAAAATGTCATGAAGAACAACAGTTTCCAGTATGAACTTTCTCTGTTTTTCAGGCCAGCTGATGTTTAGAACTTTAGCATATATTTGGTACTCTAGCAACATAAAACACTATCACAAGAAACAAAGTGTCATAATCAACATCAGAAAGCAGAAAAAAAAATTACATTTTTATACAAATTTTAGTTACTTTTTAAAAAAAGTCTACATAGTCAATTAAGGAACCTTACCAATGAGGACACTCTTTGTCCAATTATTAAAGTTTCGGAGGTAGAATATGCGAGACTGGCTACGTTTTTCCAATCCAACTTCTTGAAGTTCATTATAATGTGCAGCGACAGCTTGTCCATGGCCTGTCTCACGCTGTAGACACAAGAGAGGGAACAGACTCAAGCAGTGAATTCCTTTTATCACTTTTTAATCGAAAGATCTGTGTGCACTTTGGGCATTTAAGAAAGCAAACATGTAATACTATGAAGAATACCATCATTACATATACAAAAATAGTTCCCATATCCATCCTGGTACTGACATCAGTACTTCAATTATCATAGAGACAATTCCCTTAAAAATTGAATCCCCTTTTCAGTCGAGTCCAAGTAATTTCTGATGGATTATGACCTTTCCTTCACAGAAATACCTTTCAGTTCTCCAATACTCTCGCCACTCTCAAATAATCAGTTTCATTTCCCTTAAGACTGGGACTGAAGAGGAGGACGTTCCTTGTGAAAAACTTTAAGCTTCTTCAAAAATCCTGTTTCAGAAATTCAGGGTTTACATCTAACAGAAGTGTATAAACTACCAATCTACCCAAAATGCCAACTAGCTGATGTCACATAAAGCCCTAAGAGGATGATCCTACTGCCAGAGCTTTAAACAGACCACAGTAAGGAAATAAGAGCAAAGACTTGACAATGTATTCCATTTAATGCTTAACAGCTTGCTGTAGAAATGTCTCTGGTTTAATCTTAACTGTAAATACTCCGAGAGATTTCTGTCACATGTGACACAGAGAAGCAGTCTACACTCAAATATTACGCTCTTCACCTTGAAAATAATCTTCAGTTACATAAAATAAAGTATAAATAAAAAACAAAATAACCAATCATGGAGAATCAACACAAATTCTGTGAGGCACAAGAGCATTTGAAATAACAGTACCAACTAGAATGAAGAATTCTCAATTAAAATCCACAAACCTGCTACTAAGCCCCAGCCAGTACAAATTCACACAGCAATTAAAAGCATTCCCAACAGCTGACTATAAAAGTCAATATCCCAATATCTTATCATTCAAACAGCAGCTCCTTAAGGTAAAGGGAGACTTGACTGACATTAATATAGTACATGAATTCTTCAGTGTTTCATATAATTTTGGTAACCTTTGGAAAGAACACACACATACTTGTCTGCAATCTCTGTGCTCCCTCATACCTTTATTACCACACTTGGCTGACTGATACTAACAAATATTTTGACCATTTCTATTTTTTTTTATTTTTTTTTTTAGGGGAAGCACAGATGGCTTCCTGAATGGCCACTGAAGGTGACATAAGCTAGAATGGCTGACTTTGATAGTCTGAGGGACACATTCATACAATCCATTAACACATCTCAGCTGCTGCAAGCACAGCTGCAAACAGCCATCAGCAATAATGTCTAGATGCTGGCAGCTGCGCTCAATGCCATCACCTCTCTACACCCTTAAGCTATGCAAATACAAAGGATTTCTTGTCCATCTAAACCTTATCCCAGAACTACCTTATTTAAAAGATTACAGGGTTAATAATGTTTTCACCACAACAAAGGGTACCATTTATTTTATCACATTGCCTGGCCATAAATTAACATACTGGTAAAATTCTGAAGGGAGAAACAAAACATTAGGTCAAAGACATTTTCAAATTATACTGACATATCCCAAAAGGTCAAAATTAGACTGGATATTGTAGCATCAGTTTCTATAAGCACTTACATAATAAAGACAGTATCATATAAACATTACCCTTCCATCCACACAGTTAATAGGACAAATATTTTCTGCTGCTCGTGTGGTCTTATAAAAAAAAAAAAAGAAAGAAGCATCTGTAAACCTTTCAGTACTTCACCTTGCTAACAAGTCACACTGAAATTGTATCACAGAAGCTGCAGATTTTAGAGTTTTCCAAATCATACAATACGTTATTGAGGAAATTAAGGGAAAAAATAATCTAAAGGAAGAACATCCCATGCACAGATAACTGTGCTAGCACACAGGATGTCAACATACAAAACATATCCATTCGCGACACATGACTTGGAGTAATGCCAGGAAACCCCGCGCTACGCTACCAGACTGCCACCATACAGGCGATGGGACAATAATCTTAGAATCAGACTAAGCACATGCTGAGATCAGTTTTCTTAACATTCTAATTACCAGCCCTCTTTCCCATCTGTTAAGCCAAAGATAACTTTCTGTACCTGCTATTTTGCTAGGAAGCTATACACAAACTGTAACATTTGGTGGTTCATGCTCATTTACATATGTTTAGCATAAATACTTCCAATCTTTTCTTAAGCTAAGGCTTTAAAATACATAGCTCAAAATAAACGTTACTCACTACTTTCTTAGGAGTTTCATCTTCAGTATCTAAATTCTTCCTTTTTGCTCCGCCGTCCTGATCACCACTATCAACTTCTTTTTCATTTTCAGTGGAGTGCACTGTACCTGAAGTTGAACTGTCACCTTCCTGACCGATTCCTGAATCTGCCTCTGAAGTACCAGGCGTTTTCTCCACTTCTTCATCCAAATTCTTCTCTGCTTCCTGTTCTTCTGTCTTGGTCAAATCAGCCATTTTTGACAGGTTAGTCTCCTTGTCCACTGATCAGAATGGAAATCTACAGAGGCTAAAAAAAAAAACAAACCAGCAACTATTTTCAGTGTTGAATTTCACTTACTCATGGTTAAAGTCATGACTTTCAATCACATTGGCAGCACAAAAAAATAACACACCTTTGCCCTAGACAATATATAACTTCAAATTTGACTATTTTATAAAGGTAGCATTATAAAATATATCAAATTTCAAAGCACTCTCATTATAGTAAGACCAAATTTAAATAGATCTTTAATCTTAATGTTTGTCTTTCCTAGCTATCGCTACTGATTCACCTGTGAAGTGTTATTGTTTGTGTCATCTAATCTGTCTTTTCCTCTTCCCATAAAAAGTGACCTACAAATCACTTCATGCTTAGGGACACAAGCTGTCAGTCCCTCATATTAGTTAATTCATTATTTAATCTGATATACTTTCAAAAGAGATGCCTTCAAACAAAAAAACAAGATGGATTTTAAGAGCATATTTAATATCAATTAATGACTTTCAAGTTTGCAAAGAAAATTCATTATGCCTCAAGCTTCACTGATACTAGGAATTTTCAGCGGTAACGGCATTTCTGTATCTCCACTTCACAAATATCCACACAGTCCATAGGACTGCAAACCACTGCTATAAAACACATCCCTGCCTTTGAAACACAGAATCCTTTAGGTCAGAAAAGACCCATAAGATCATCGAGTCCAATCATTAACATAGCACTGCCTTCTTTACACCATCATCAGGAAGCAGGGCACCTACTTTTCAGAAGGGCATAGGAGAAGATAATTTGGCAACTCCTTTTCTAAAACTTCTACTTCAGTCTAACAACAAAAAAAACTGTGCACGATGCACTGTACCCAGACTGAAGTCTCCTAATTAGGGCCAAAACAGATTAATTAAGTGGACCATTACAGAGAGACCAGAACAGCTTTCTTCGGCAGATGGCCTCAAAGCACGACTTAACGGGGGTAATTTTTTCCCTACGGTACAGCGCCTAACTCACGCTTCCTGAGAAGCGCGCCTTTTCCTATCCTCGCTAGGCTGCTCCGAGCACTTCACCATTGCTTTTACGGCCTAAACTCAGAAACGATCACAATTTCAGTGAAGTGCCCCGGGGGCGCCTCCTTCGAGGGAAACGCGGGAGAGCTCAAAACGCTCAGCGGCCCAGGAAGCGCAAAGCGGCGACAGACACTCCCTCCTCCATTAACGGCCTAGGCCACGTAGACTTTTAGCTACGTCCTGGGGGGGGGTAAGCAGGGGAACGGAACGCGTCCCGACGCCGGCAGGCACAGACCCTCCCCGGCGAGGCGCTCTGGCAGCC